TAGGTACCTATATTAGTATATTATGATATAATTACAAATTAATATTGTCTTAAATAATATTTTTTTTTTTTTTTCATTGCTTACTTTTCGGCTCAAGTTTTGTCGGTTTATTAAAAACATACTTGTTAAATATTTAAATACTTTTTCTGTATTTTAAATACTTTTAGACAGAAGTATTTCAAGTATATTTCAAATACTTATTATTATATTTTGTATTTAAAAATATTAAATACAAAATTTTCAAACAAGATATTTTCTATTTAGTTAGGATAACTGTATATGTTATAAATCATCACATAAATTAAACATAACTAAACATTAACAATTTTTATAAATAAAGGAATTCTGTATAAACCTACAGTTATCTTCTATATTCAATACATTTTATTACATTAAACAAATAATTAGTTTTAAGAATTAAGAATCAGAAAATAATAAAGCTTAAAAAATTGTATTTAAAAATATTTGAAATACTTTTTGAATATATTTGTATTTGTATTTAAATATTTATTAGCAAAGGTATTTAAATAAATATTTTAATAATTTTAATTAAAGTATTTAAATACCTATTTGAAATACTTTTGAAAAGTATTTTTAACACCATTGATTAAAATTAAAAATACCAGAAATTATTTTGATTCTTGAGCAGTTTGAGGTAATTTTTTATTTTTTTGCCGCACCACCCATTTATTTTTTATCAAGTCATATTTTGCCCAAATTAAAAGAGAACCTCCCACATGCGAAGGATGTGGGACCCCCCTCACCATCAAACCCATACTAACGGAATGCCAACTCTATCAACAGGAACGAATAAACTTCGACATTACAGAAACACTTGATTCACTTCTCGGACCGGATCCCGCTCAAAACAGGAAAATACTTAATTTTTGAAAATCAATTAATTTAATAGAACAAATATAATGTAAATGTAAATATAAATATAATTATGTAACAAAATTATCATGGGGGGGTCTGACCCCCCCCCCCCCTTGTATACGCCCCTGGGTACTCAACTAAAATATTAACACAATACGCAGAATAATGGAATCATACACGACTTTCGGAAGTTAACTGAAGTCTGTGATCAATGATAATACAACAATATTAATATATTCATTTTCCTTCACAAAACACACTCACACAAACAAAAATATGTACATAAATACATACAATGTGTACGTTTCCGCATACGTCTAAATATAAATATATTCCAACTATCAATTAGTAAAAATGTATCATATTGTGACAATAATTTCTTAGTACATAGTACAATATTTTCTGAAAATATTATAAAATGGACATGTTTTTGCGCTAATAAAATATAATAATATGGTAAAACGGCAACAACTGGGCTTTTAAAATCGGACAGGGGCAAATGCCCACCTTGCCCCCCCCAAATGACGCCTCTGGTGTGAATGAATTTTGTAAATTAAATTTATATTTTGCAATTTTGGTGAGATTATTTTATATAGGTAATTAGTTTTTTTTCGTATAGGAATGACATCTGAAACACTAGAAATTTGAAAACAAATAAAAGGAAAACTATCATCTCTCCAGAAAACTACTTTTATTGTATACCTACCTACTAATATTTCAACTATGTACTTAAATGAAATGTAACCATTGTCTATTGGGCTACCAGCCCGTACTTTCAATAAATGAAGTCAATTATTATACATTATATTAATTATTAGTATGACAATTGGGAAAATTAAAAAATGATAATAACTAATAATAACATAAATATACCTAATTGCATACTGAAGTATAATATAAAAATAGGTTTATCTATTTAATATAATATAATGTACAAGGAAGATAATACAAAATTCTACAAGATATGTAATTAATTAATAATTTCAAATTTAAATTTAAATTCAACAGGCATCACAAAACTTTAATGTTTAGACTGACTACCTAGTTATTTCTGAAACCAATTTTGACAAATTTGGATACTGTTTCTTAGTGTCCGAATCATTCAATATTCTGTTGAATCTGAAACAATGACGAGCATAATGTAAAAAATGATTTTAATAAATTACTTTCTCATACTATTCAATCTGATTGAATTTATTGTACATGTTGATAACTTTTTTTTTTATTCAAATTATCTATAAGTCTTCCAAGTATGATTTCTTACATTTTTATTTTCTTCTAGAGCTACAAGAGTCAAGAATTATTGCAACAACATACAATACTGGATCGTAGGAAATCCAAGTATTACAAATTTTTAATAACTGTACCTAAATATAGAAATTATATATAGGTACTTGATATCAGAAAATATTTCACAGTAAGTGGTATTGGAACATACATCAATTTTATTATTGACAAAATTGAAAAGAAGGTCATGAATTTCATCATAAACCCAGTCAGACATTGTCAAAATATTTTACACTATACACACTTTTCATATGTAATGGTAAATCACAAAATGCAGCATAATTTTTCATTATAAACTTGACGGGCTCTGTAAATACAATAAAAAATTAAACGTTAAACAAAAACTTGTGTTGACAAAAACAGAAAACACGGTATCGAATCCGATAGAATAGGAAACCGAGTTTTAACATTGAAAAACCGTCCTAATTTATGTCAATCCTCTGTAAACATCTACAGGGCAAACGGCTGAACATATAAAGTCGTACAAGTTATCAATCGATCAGAAGTATTGTGCGGACGGGAACAAAGGAACTTGCTAGCAGATTGGTTCCTAGATGGCTTATAGTTTATAAGTTATAAGCAAAAATGTCCAAGTACCTACTTTTAACTTTTAAGACCGATTTTGCATGCGGAACAGTGAGGATTGGATAAGCGGTGGGTCGGGGGATATTTACGATATTTTCGTCCCGACCCACCCTTTATCCATCCCCACTACTCATCGCGACGGCGGCGACGACGACGTACGACGATTGGCGATTGCAACGGCGCGGTGTCTCGGATGCCGATCGCCGTCAACCATTTACCATAAATACCATTAATCATTATACCATTTCGTGTATTGCTGAATGTTGATGAGCGACGACCAGCAGGCAGCAAGATGGTATATAGATTATAGGTACTTTCTTAAATCGTGCTGACGACTTAACGACTGTGATTGTTTAGTAAATTCGTGATCCATAGCGACGGTATTATATTATTATGCTGAAAACTTGCAACAATGATAAAATAAAATAAGAAAATAAGCATTCTGGTGATTAATTCATTACCCGTGGCAACAATTATTAAGGTCGATGGCAAATCATATGCTCTTAATTCTGTGATTTGCCATCATGGTCCATCTATGACTCAAGTCTCAAGCCCATCATTTATTAAACATAATGATAAAATGTGGGTTAGATGTAAATGTAACGATATAATATTTATATTATTATAGTTTTAGAAAAAAAAAACTAAAATAGAAAAAATATATAACAACAGGAGGCCAGCGATGCATAATATGCTATTATGGATTATTATTATTATTATTATATACAGTCAAATAAAATCGCCACTTATTTCATAAAAAAATAGCTGATATCACACCAAAAGCACTTCGTTATAACTCCGTGTAAAAAAAAAAAATTAGTAATGATTAAATCTTTAAAAGACGTGATATAATATGGAAATTAAGTAAAATACCATTTTATAATATTACAAATACCTATGATGACTATGAATTGTAATGTTGAATATTTAGTCAACATATTATGTTTAACTATTTGGCAGGACGTAGAAGTATAATATGCATAGGGTGTACATTAAATATATTACAGTGACGACTGTCTACAATATACGATAGTCCCCGTTGTTTTGAAAAAAAAAAAATTACCTCATTTTTCAATGCTATTGCTGCATGAAAATGTCTTATTACTACATCAAATACTAAACTTATTTTATTACTAGGTTACTGTCTCAGCTTATTTGCGTCGTTGACTAAAAAAGGAATATTATGTTATAATAATCTATAGTTCAGTTACAAATACATGTGACATACAGATATACATAATAATTAATATTATACATTTATATAGGTATTATATAGATATTATAATTATATTTGTTATTTTACTTATATTTAATTGTAACAATAGTTTGCTAGTATATTATATTGTGACAATCTAGAATTTTTTTTTCTCTAGAGTACCCATGGTATGCGAGGATAAGCCAATCATGAGGTTTGTATTAATTACAAATAATAGTTTCTTTAAAATAATGATAATTGGCACCACTTCAAAAATAGTAATTTAAGAGAGATAGTTATAAATGTGGCATTTACAATAAATAATAATTTGAGTTTCACACAAGTGAATAACAATAAGTTTTCCTGCATGACAATACTAAATAATATGAATATAATAATTTAATGTGGTAGGTACGTGGAAAGTGCAAAGGAGGGAAATAATGATGTTTAACAAACAACATTGCCTATGTTTTATTTTTAAAGGATAATAGCATGGGGGGAGGGGAACCGTTGGGTCAATATAGCCGCATGTAAGTACGTAATAAATTGATATATTATATTATACCATACTATTTGTTTGTTATTTTTTTTATATACTGAGAGTGAATAACGTCTTCTTTTAATTAATAAGAAAAAACGCGACCATGCGGCCTATGGCTTATGACTGAACGATCAGGTGTTGGAAAGGGAAAAAGGGGAGAGGAAAAATTGTGCTCACGTCGTACGACGTCTCTAACTACGTGTCCGTATACGGGGGCCATGGGGTTAACAATAAATTATATTACGATGACGTGGTTGACTGCTGACTTGAGAAGTTGACATAATATGGAAGTGTGTACAGTGCACTGGCTTTCCGGCCATCCGTGGGGCCTATGGAGGTGTCCTCAGCCCAACATCATATTATATAGTCGTACACAACAATAGAAACGAAAATTCAGTGTCGTGACAACCGTTGAAAGATGACGCAAAACACGAGGTCGGTGTGGTGTGACAAAAACTGTCGTGGACAGAGTTATAATTTGCAAGTCAGGGACTTAACGGAGAATGATGGTCGGTGATGAATCGGAAGATATCGAATGAAAGAACGTTGGTGGCCGGAGCGGTCTGCTGGTCTCCGACGGTGGCTTATATGTTTGTATCGTTGGCAAAAGGCGCACAAGACGTATATCGAATGAAAACAATAACTCGAGTGTGTAAGACACCAAAACGATCGACCCAATTGGCTCGTAGTCTTCCCGCCTTAAAAGTTCAATCTGATGGGAAAATGTCCAAAACTCGATAATATGTGTAAAACACGCAAAATTTACTTGTAATTAAAACGCAAATAAACAAACAAACAAATACACAAATGTTAAAAAATTCGGGTCGTGGATTACGAATGTCGTTGGGCGCCACTGCCGTATACGCACTTTTCAGTGATATACCTCTGTCGACACTAGAATTACCAAATGACCATAAACTAACCGGTTATACAGTTTGGTTCTCCAGACGTCGATATCGCTACCTTAATGTTTAGACTTTCAATCTTCAACGGCCATAAGTTAACCGGTTACAGATCAGATTTAAGGATTAGGTACGTAGAATCGTGTGGCTACTCAAACAAAACATATAATTTTCGGGTCGGAAACACTTTTTATTAACTTATATAAACAAACACAAAATTAACAATCAAACGTATCTCGCAGTATTGACATACCACGACTGCCCTCACTATTCTTTTCGCCTTACATTTATTTTACGATTTAGCTGCCTCAGCACATTTGCTTCACTGGCCTACATTACAAATATGATTATATTATACTGTTTATACATAGAGTCACCTATTAGTCAGTGGCGGACTGGCTCAGGTGGAGAGTGGCAGAAATCCACCGGGGCCGCTGTCTTGAGAGGTCCCTTCTATATGGTGCACTTTTAATAAAAATATATTATATTATAATTTTATATTCGATTACTAAATGAACAATAATAGTCAATAGATAATACCACACAAAATACACGATCCTAGGGCACGAATATTTCTACATAGCTTATCAGCATATAATGAAAATAATTTTCCCTGACCGGCGCGACGCACCCGACCATAATATTATTATAAGAAGTCATGAGCTGTAATTAGAAATAACGAAATTCCCGTTTGTCGCAGCCCACTGTCGACCAATATTGTTTTGTTAATGTAATTTATACTGTGTTGTCTTTATCGTCAATGCTCAATGGTTATTCGTTATTTAATTGAAAACATTGAACGACTAAATAGTGAGCAAATGAAGTTAACAATCAAAAAATTGCGTACCTATGTGTAACTTGTGTAGTTTTGTATATATTATGCATCAAATGTTGAATTTATACATTTAAATTTAAAGTACGAGTACCTAATAAACTGTTTTCTCAGTAATATCTAAATATGGACCTAAAAAATTGTATAAACGATTTTATTTTTTTAAAATCGATATAATATAATATTACGAATTATGATATTATTTATTTCTAGAATATATTGGCGGTGGTAAACACCCTTAGCACTCCCAAAATTGTAGAATATGATAAGAGAGCGTAGTGATGAGCTGCACATTTTTTCATCATACAAAAAAAAATTGTGGGCCCTTCAAATCTTCTCCACCCGGGCCGAAGTACTCTCAGTCCACCCCTAGGGCTATTACCACAGTTGTTTGAACTGTCAGCACCTCTTCACTGGGATTATTTAATTGTTCCATCGATGAACATATTTTTAAAGCCTTATCAGTTATCAAGAGACAGTTCATCTTCTCTTAATAAATGTTAATGAATCAGACATCCATATTACTTAGTTAAAAAAACATAAAACGAAACTAATAAAATACATTTTAAACAGTGTTGAACTGTTAAAGAATAAATATTAGTGTTAAACCATATGAATAATATTTTAACAATTTAAAAAAAAAAATCAAAATTTTGTTTCATTCTTCGAAGTATTAGGTATTTTCAAGGGCAATTTATCAATGTATTGTTCTTTTAGCAAACCAAGTACAAAAACATCAAGAATGCTTATCGATCAATATGGTCAGACATTTACCTAGTTCGGAGTTTCGGACTGGAGATTATTTTTTCGGTAATATTATATTATAAATTGTAATCATAAAACACCTACTATTTACTACTTAGTACAATTATTATTATGCTAAAAAGGACTTACTAACTTTATATTATCTATACAATTACAATTACTGTCACTTATGACTACTTGTGGTTATTTGGGTATAGAGTATTAACTAGTTCTGCAAAATCTAGTATTCTTCAATAGACACACATAAATCAATGGAAACGGACTTCACAGATCTGAAATCAATGGCGACAATGGCAAAGTAAGTATTTATATTCATGTATAATATATTTATATTATTATGTTGCCAAGTATTTGTTATTATTCATAACACACCAAGTAACCATTTAAATTACCTAGGTAGGTACTGCTTGATAACAATATTACGCTAATGCAGGCCAAGTTTTAAACTATAAGATTTATAACAATTAACAATGGCCAAAAGCACACTGGATAGGTGCACAATTTAAGTCACCTAAGTATCTACTATAGGTAGTTAGGAATTACCACAGAACAAGAACTGCAGTGGCGTGTAGAACAATTTTAATTAAAGGAGCCGAATATATTTTATTCATTCACCCACCCACGACCCACCCACATACAACAGAATGTAGGTATACCAAAATTTGCTGAATTTTCAACTCTCAAGTTCATAATTTAGAAGCGATACATTTTATTACAAATCTACCACCACCCCAAAAATCAACGGAGCTGTGGCTCAAAAAAAACTACCTCGCCATGCCACTGCTTGGAACAATAATTATAATACATATAGCCACATAGGGGAAACTGGGAAAGATCGAATACTTACTATTACTTAGAGTTTTAGGAACCATTACTGAATAAAACCATAATATAATATAATATTATAATTATATTATTGTGTGGAAATATAAAACAACTACACGGTTATAACGACGATAGTACGATACGTCGTTACTATATACTACAGTAGGTATAACTATACCATAGAGTAAAGAACCAATGATCGGTGAAAAACGGAAATAGTTACCTACCTATGATCAGTGTTGTAAAAAATACTTTTTAAAAGTATTTAAGTAATTACTCAAATACTCTTAAAATAAAGTATTTAAAATACCACCCAAATGGCAAATACTATAATAGTACCTTTCAGAAGTATTTGAAATAATCTTCAAATACAAAAAAAATATTATTTTTACTTTTTAGTGCTGAAATAATTTGTAATAACCAAAAATTTGTTTATTGCATTTTAAAAACATGATTTGTTCAATAATCAAAATTCTGATCAGTCATGTTAGTTGCACCACAACAATGAACTTTTCTCTACAAAGTTTTATATTAATTCAAAACCATAATATGTATTTGGATATCTTATACTCGGTGTTTCCGAATTGCGGACAAAGTGACAAAAACCATGTGAGTTGCGGACGAAATCTAAAAAGGTAACATACGAATTGCGGACACAAATATAAGATAGTAATCATATATATACAGGCTGTTTTAAATACTATGACGATACCTAATTAATAATGACGATAATCTATAAATATTCTATAAACAATTTTTAACACAAAATTAACCCCACCTACCAATTTTTTTTTAGCTATTGTCATAAGTCCTGAAAAAGTGGTGAAGGGAAATATTTGTGTCCACAACTAACGTAGTTTTTATTAAAAAAAAGCTCTGTACGCAATTAGTATTATGACAACGAAACTCGTGTCCGAAATAATTGTTATATTACAATTCCTAACCTGAATAATTCGTCCGCAACTAGTATGTGTCCCTTATACTGCCGTCGACGATAAACGATAAACGATAATGATAATTATTGATAAAAATTGTATTGGTAAATAGGTAGTAGGTACTAATAATTACCTAGACACCTAGTAATAATAATAATAACATATAGTTAAATAGTTATAAAGTATAAACTATAAAGTATAATAGCCGATAAGCAGAAGTTTTTTACATATTATATATTTTGTTATTGACTTAAGCTAATTATAGTGATACCGACTACAGATATATCTTTTCGATCTTCGTCAACAACAAGCTGTCTCCTGGAGAATAAAACATTTAATTGATAAAAACCGATACCAAATTGTCTGTGTGTGTGTTTATTTAACAAGAATAAGAAACAAATTAAGAATTAAAAGAATAAAAAATAAGCATTCAATAAAATAGTATTCAATAGTAAAAACAAGTATTTCAAATACCATCCAAATACTTCAAAATAAAAAGTATTCAATACGGAAAAAAGTGTTTGAATACTTTTACTCAAATACTTTACAACACTGCCTATGAGCTTATTCGTAAAAAAACCACTTGATTATAATAATACCAATAATGTGTAGGTACAATGCGTATAATAATAAGTACGTTTATTTATTATTGTAATCGCCCTGTACACGTCTTACACGTGTGTCGTGCTTGTGCGGCCCGGGAGTGGTGCCGCGGTCATGACAAAACAAACGTAGTTTAAATGAAGTACATATTTTCCAAACCGGTGGATAGAGACTTATGAGTTACGGAGAAGTTCAGTGGCCACCAGGTCCAACAGATCTTACACCACTAGATTATATTTCCTACGAGGGCACTTGAAAACAGTAGTGTATGCCAATCCACCTACCATAGGCGGTAAAATTTGGACAACTGAATTGGGGGGGCTAAATTTATAAAATCAATACCGACAAACATAATTTTTTTTATTAGGTGGATTTAAGAATGAATATATTTAAGAACTTAGGGAGGCATAAATAACACTTGGGGGCCAAGCCCCCCTAGACCCCCCCCCCCCCAAAAAAAAAAAATTGAGCCAATGCCACCTACGTGTTTTCTTGATTTGTAAAACAAAATAATTACAGCATGTAATACAATTACAGAGGCACAAATTATTTCTGCTACTGAGAATTTTTAATTCTTATTGAATGTTGTTTAGAGCACCATGGTGTACAGTTTGAACAATTTGTTTGATAAATAAAACTTTAAGAATAAAAAAAATCAATGTTTGTATTTTTATTTTACATATTTATTATTATTAACTACGTATTTTATAATCTGTTATACCCATGAAAATAACATAAATTCAGATTACTATAACTCAGCCATTTTACGTTCTTGATTTTTAATCAAGTAAGTATGGTAATTGAAATGAAAAAAGTCTGAATTTTCAAAACTTCAAGAATTTGTGTCAAATAGAAAAATAATAAAAATGTATGATAGCT